AAGTAAGTTTTTGTAGACCATGACAAAATAAAAAATAAATATAAAAAATACTTAGATGTGACTACAATTGTTCTGAAGTGCAAATAAAAAACATTTGTAATTCATGTTAAATGAATGTATTTAGTTCCATTTCACCACATTAAGTTATTTTTTACGTCTTTAGAGTCATTTTAGATTTCAGATAATTCAAACATCAGCTTATCCAGATGTTTGCTCTAAGAAAAATATGACCACATTTAGAGTTTTAAGACACGTTTAAATGACATGTTTCTCATGTTTCAGGCTTTTTCCAACTCATGAGGTTGATTCTGAAGTTTACAAACAGAAGGTCGTTACATGGAAATAAAACCATCATATTGACCCCTTTCCTTCAAGTTTTTCAGGAAACACAAAAAAACTTAACCAGAAGGGATCTTTTTTTTAGATTCCTGACAAACTTGAAAAACAAAAAGACTCAGGTGATTATTTTAGGAAGATGTGAATATTTTTTAAAGAGGCTGAACACAATGTTTTACCCTAAAGAGCAGAAAATTAAACATTACTATTAAAATGTTATTTTCTTGATAAAGGCTCACCTTCTCCTCCTCGGCCCAGCAGCAGGTGGAGACCACCAGGACCACCAAGAGACCGAGTGCAACCTTAAAGGAAGCCATGTGACCAACCTGTACAGCTGTTAACACCTGGATCCACCTGCAGCTCCTCTTTATATGTCTTTCTCACTCACTCACTCACACACACACACACACACACACACACACACACACTCTCTCTCTCTCACACACACACACACACACACACACACACACACTCACACAAACACAAACACACACACACTCACATACACACAAACACACACACACTCNAGCTCGAACAGCGCATGAAGGGAACATTCAGTGCTTTTAGCACCGCCCTCTGGCGGTCAGTAGGGATGAAATAGAACTGGCCCAGTTGTGGTTTGGTTTATGTGGTGCTGGCTCAGGCATGGGCCATCTCTGGTGAATCTGTGCCGTCATACTCTGCTGTATCTGGGCCAAGTGCTGGTGCATTGTGTGGGCCAGAACTGGGCCAGACCAGAGCCAGACACATTTTGTTATGCTTTAATACAGTATAGTCAGCACAAAAATCACATTTATTCTCAGAAACTGTTTGAATATTTTTAACTCATTTGAGTATTTTTGTTTTAGCTGATTCAGCATTTTTATTTATTTATTCATTTTTGCATAAAATAACATTAAATGTTATTGATTCCAGTGAGATTTCATAGAAAACCCTTTAAACTTTAGATTTTAGCTGATGGGACAGGTGTTTGTCACACAGTTGGAACAGAACAGAACCAACAGTTAAATCTGGACAGCTCTGCTTTACTTTCATTTCTGCTTTATTGGTCACTAAAATGTTTTTTAAAACAGGCTCTACCTTTTTTTTATTGTCTGCTTGGGTAAGAATATAGAACAGATGTTGGAAATGATGGAAATAGAATTTGTAAAAGTACAAAATTGGTTTAATCATAATAAATTATCATTAAATTTAGATAAAACTAATTAGATAATATTTAGTAACAGAAAGAAAACAAGTGATGTTTCATTTAGAGTAGAAGTGTTGATCTGTAGAGTCACTGACGTGAAGTTTTTGTGTTATCATTGATTAAAATCTGACATGGAGACCTCATATCAATTACTGAAGAACAAAAATGGCAAAATCTACTGCAGTATTATATAAAGTTAAGGAGTTATTTAATGATAAAACACTGTTTATATTATATAATGCAATAATTGTTCCACATTTGATTTATTGTGTAGAAGTCTGAGGTAAAGTAATTACTAATCCTATTTTTATTTTACAAAAAAGAGCCATAAGAACAAGAAGGCATTATTATCGCCCTTCTAATATATTGTTTCATCAATTAAAATGATTAAAATTTAATGAGTTGGTTGATTATAACATTCTGCAGGTTCTGTATAAAGCTCATAAAATGTGTTTCCTTAAAAGGGAAAGCTGTTATAATCTGAAGGGATTACAAATGTTTGTTAAACTGAAAATCTGAACAAATNTTATTATTATTATTATTATTATTATTATGTTGTTGTTGTTGTTGTTGTTGTTGTTGTTGTTGTTGTTGTTGTTCATGTGATAAGAACCAAAGCAGAAGTGTTAAAGTAAAGAACTGATGGTTGATCAGGAGTCCACAGAAGTGAAGACAGGAAGTTGTCAGTAGATCAGATGATGATGTCATTTATTTATGTCATAAACAATAATTTTCTGCTGAAACCAGATCAGCTGTTTATAGAGATAAGCTCCGCCCCCACACAGTGTGTGTTTGTCTGAGGTTTACAGTAACTAAGTACATTTACTTTGTTACAGGTAGTTTTTTTGAGGATTTGTACAAATTATTTTTTAAATAGCTACTTTTATTTTTTACATTTTAAAGCTAAAAATGATACTTTTACTTCCTTACTTTAGTTACTTGTTCCAAGTTAACGATGTTTGATGTCATCATGGAAGATGTTTCTGCTCTGAAACAGGAAGTGTTGGTTTTAATCAACAAAGTTGTGTCAGCTGGCTGCACTAGTTCTGAGGCCGACGAGTAAACTAATCAAAGATGTAAATACTTTATATTACTCAAAACCAGTTTGGTTCAGTAAATTCAACAGTTTATTTCTTAGAGTGTGTAAAAGTACTTTTACTTTTTCCCAGTTTTTGTGAACAGTTTTATGACTTTTACTTGAGTAGTTTTCTCATCAGTGACTTTTATTTTTACCAAAGTCATTTTCTGTTTGTGTAATTTTACTTTTACTTAGTTTTTTTAAGTACTTTATAGTGCTGTGGTGTTTGTGTAGTTGTGTGTTGTGGTTGGTCACCGGTGGTCCTCAGCTCGAGCCCTCCGGTGCTTCTTGGCCCTCCGTCTGTGCTTCCTGCCAGTGGAGGCGGAGCTTCCTGTGGCGGTGCTGACAGCTGCTGAGAACACACACAACACTGTCACGGTCTATTTTAGGTCCGCACACTTTAAAAACTTTATTCATCAAACTGAAACAAACAGTTTTAGCTTCACACTCATTTCATTATAAAACAAACAGAAACTGTGTCTCAAACAGGAACAGAAACTTTATTTTAAAAAGAAAACAGTCTCCAGACACCAAACTATTTAAAAAGTCTAAATGTAAGACGGTGAGCATCAACAGGAAATTCATTTTTAGTTTTTAAAAAACAAAATTCAGCTTCAGGAAAGTCTCTGAAGTTTATCTTCATGAAGAAAAAGACCTGATTTTAGAGAACAATAATAATAATAATAAACATGAATTAAATCTCTTTTCAAATCAAATCAAATCAAATAACTGTGAACTCATCCACACAACTTTATTTTGAAAGGACCTGGAAGGAAATGGTTTTGCTGAAAGGTCAAAGTTTTAGGAAATAAAATAATTTATAATAAATGTATGAAGTGAGGTGGAGGGTAGAGAAGTGTGACCCGGGTCAGGTCTGGTTTACCTATCAACATGTCCTGCTCCAGTCCTCKGGCCCAACGGAGCTGGGGACGGTCCGGGGGTCGGGGGGGTCCAGGAGGTCCAGGAGGTCCAGGGGGGTCACTCAGCCTCTCTCTCCACACTTCTTACCGGGTCAAACCTGTTATCTCGCAGCTTCTCCTGTTGGTTCTGACCCAGTCTCTACTTCCCTGACAGGACTCAGAACCAGGTCGGTGCCACTTCCTGGACTGGGCCCGAGAAGTTATTCTGGGTTCGTCACACGTGCTGTCGAGGTTCTGCCCAACACCAACCCAACACCTGTTGGACTTGACATTCGACACCGGCCCTGCTCTGATGGTCCAGGGGCGGGTGTAGGGGGGACTGAGGGGGGTCCGACCCTGGACCGGACATTGAGCGGCGGCCATCTTTGTGCTGTTTACAGGACAGCCTGCTCCTTTCACACAGCTGTTTGTTCAACTAAATGAAATGATTTAAAAACTACAGTTTGTCTTTATGAAAATGATCTTTGATAATAATTAATAATAATTAATGTTTGAACATTTGAAACAAACATTTAGAAGAGAATGTTTCCATCACTCTGTCATCAGAAACAGGTCAGGTTCGTTGCTTCGACTCATTTATTCATGTTGAACTGAAACCTGTGCTCCTGCCTAAATGCTTGCTGTTACAAAGCTCCACCTATCAGTACTTAGCTCCTCCCCCCTACAGCATTGTTGTGAAAACTGCTGATGTGGGAGTGTCTGAAATGGTAGGAGGTTCTTAAAGAGACAGGTTTTTGACAGACTATGATACAAAGTCACATTTAGTTTGATTTAACACAACTTGAGACATTTATGAGGGAAATCTTTTTATTTCCATCCTCTGAGTTGGACTTCAATCTGATCCCTGAGATGATTTTAGTCTTTTTAAAACTGATCAGTATTTATCAAATTGTTTAAACTTGTATTTTTCACAGCATTAGTTCACAGTGGAAGAACTTACTGTGAATCTCATCAAGTTTGCTCTAATATTTACGTCTGCTGCCAGATGTGAGGATGTCCTTGTAGCACCTAACAACATGGCAACACATTCTTGTCTCGTTAGCATAAATGTGAATTTAGCTAACCTTTCCAGAGTGTCTCTGTTTGAACAAGTCCATGGTCCAGAACCTAAACCCGTGTGGACAGTTCCTCGTCTTCCTGATGACACTTGGCGGTGGGCCTCATCATCACTGCCAGGTGTTGGAACAGGTAGATGTTTATTTACTAAATGTCAGGTAGCACCAGCACAACAAGAAAACATGAAGAAGAACTGAAAATTATTACAGCCCCCCCCCCCCCCCCCCCCCCC